CGTGACTGACACGTGACTCCAGGGATTCCGCAAGGCAAGTCTGGAAACGAGGATGTCAAACCTTCAGCATTGAGCCCCCATTGTCTTCTCGCCGCCGATGCCGAGACATCCACATTGACCATTCAAAGCCCCCCCGACCCCGAATCCGCCACCACATTCACGATTGAAGGGAAACCTAGTTTGGAAGTTTCGAGACCGAGCGACGGGATATCAATGGCCGCACTGGTATGGCGTGCATACGGGAGGCAGACTCGGCACGCACACACGCACGGAGACCAACTCATTTGCGGCATTCTAATGCAGGCGACCGGAATGAAAGAGCGCATCTGCGCCTCGGTCAAAGGCGGCGAACGGCGCGCCGACGGCCAATTGGCGTTTGCGGGAGAAAAACGAGCCGGGCGAGCGATCTGCATGCTGAATAAACAAACAAATAATTAAATAGACGGCGCCGGCGTTAACGCGACACGCTTAAGACGGACGGGCACCTCTCTTCCGCGGTCGGCGTCCTTCTCGCCACAGGTTTCCCGTCGCGACTTATCTCCACTGGCGGGAAGGCGACGGCGGATCTCTCCCGCTGGCACTCGCCGCTCGCCCGACTCAATCTCTGCTCGCTGCAATCGAGCCGCGACCAGCCAAATAATGCCCTCCCCCCCCCCGCGCCACCACCACCTCGCACCGCCTCACTCGGCGCGCGCGTGTGTGTGTGTGTGTGTGTGTGTGAATGCGTTTGGCTCACCGTTTTCTTCCAAACGCACTTTCATGTCGTTACCCATTCGCCATTCCGAGGTGAACATGATGTCCCCGCGTTGCCGGGGAGCCATCGAGACCAGTTTGCTCGCGCTGCGCAAAAAAAAAAAAAAAAAACGTCGCCTTCCTCCATTGCTCGGCCTACGGTGTCACGGAACCAACTCTTGCTCACCGCACTCCGTTTTTACCTCTTGTCTTGCGGAGGCTCCTTCTATTTGTTCTCCAATTTGTTCTCGCTCCTTACTCGTCGCCATTGCCAAACTTTTCATTTCCACCACTAAACGGTCGGCTCTTGCGGTGCAGCTGATGCGGCAAATTAGTGCGAGATGGACGCTTGAGATCCGCCAGTCTGGCCGCACGTCCAAATCCACCCCCCACGGCGCCTTTATCGATTACCTCCGCCACGACAAAGCGGATACCAAATCAAGGCGCAGCTCGGCAGACGGTATTTCAGGTATCGAGCACAGGCGACAATCTTTGGAGTTTGTCGGATGACGTACGCTGAAAACGACCTTCAACGCAGCTTGAAGGGGCGTAAATAATGCACGGTCGACCTTAAAGCGCATGTCGTACGAATGTTGGCCGAGCAAACCGACAGGACGTAACCAAACACGGAACAACTCGCGGGACCTTTTGAGGTTCTTCAAGCAAGCAAACGGACCGACGTTAAAAAAAAAAAGAAAAAAGACACGGGGACTCACAGGGAATGGTGCGCAGGTAGAGGTTGTCCCGGATGATCTGCTGCAGTTCGTGGTCCACCGAGCCTTTCTGGAAGCGCAGGTTGAGGTAGCGGCACAGGTCCTTGTCGATCGCGCCCCCTGGATGGACAACGGAGACGCGCTCGCGTGAGATCAAGCGAGGGCCGCAAAATGGATTTTTTCCAAACCGAGGACAAAAAGGGACGACCATAGTGGCCCCCATTATGTCCACCATCCCCCCCGTTGTTGGTTTGTGGGGATTGGCAGGAAACGAGGGTTCAAGGAAAGAAGAACACTGGGAAGCAGGTGTTTTCAAGTTTCACACCCGACACCGACTTCTCCAGTTACGCACGAACAGCACAGCTCAAAGGACACCCAACTTATCCAAAATGATTAAATCGCCCCCAAAAAAAAAAAAAAAAGCGTGGAATGTCCAATCGTTTCCCTGCCATCTTTGGAACTGTCAATTGGAGCACGTGCGGAAGGAAGAAAGTCGACGTATCAATCACTCGCCGCAATTTCTGTGAATGGATTTTCACGAGGTTCACCCGTTCATCTCGCTGGCTCAGCATGCAGGAAAAAATCAAGTGAAGGCGGCGGGCGACAGAGGAATGGAGGTAGGGGGATTAGAGAGATGGAAGGCCAGGGCAAATCCCAAGGGGGGGGGGAGCCGAG